CTGTACTAGTATATTAATATATAAAATACACAAACTATTCATATTGATTCTTCACCTGACACAAGTCTCAATGAAAGAAAACACCTAAGACACCATATCAAGTTCCAAGTTTATTGAAAAAATTTATAATCACTGGGAATAATTTCTTTAGCGGTATGAAATAATATTATCACAGGAATAAATTCCATTTAGATATTAACAATCATAAACTTTTTTAATTCATTAATATTACTTCATGCAGGTGACATAACACTTCTTATTTAACCATGTTGCAATACTTGCAAATACTGCACTTAATTGTGATTTAACATTTCCATAACCGCGGAAAAACTATGAGAAGGAACTTCCTGTGAAAGGACTAAATTCACCTTTTTGTTTGAAATAATTTTTATAAGATAAACTTATGTTCCAAAACCATTTTGTACTAATTTTTTCTTGGTGTTTAATTGTTTTACAAAAATTATGAAAAGTAATATTTCTGCCTTAAAGAGACATGAACTTGAATTTTTTTGCTCTAAAATCCACAACTTAGAAACACACTCTTTGTCATCCAAATAAGGGGAACTTTGTGTTGGAAGTACATGTAACAAATTGAACAATTTCCACTGACTTTATGTACCAAAAGCTTGGTTAGAATGTTCCCCATAATATAATTTTACAAGAAAAATACTGTAATCCGGTTAAAATATACATTTAAGTAACAACAGATAAACGTACAATACAGGTAAACGTACAAATAAGAATAACGCTGGTAAAAAGTAAATCTTTCTAAAATGTAAAACTGCACAGTTAACAAGTTTTTTTTTTTTTTTTTGGTTTAGAAATTTTTTTGATGTCATTTTGTGTTTATGCATGAAATTCTAAATGTATGGTGCAGTAAAAGAAAGCTGTCAAAAATGACACGCTAAGGCTGTATTCCCAGAGCTTTTAGATCGATCTATCCACACGGGGAGTCTCAATAGATTACTGTCAGATAATCCGGCCTAAAAGTCCGTCCCGCCTACTACAAGCTGTAAGGGGGTAATTAACTTTCGTGTCTGCTTGGCTGACAGCTATTTAGCGTGAACCCCCAGGGAGTTAGGTCGATCTAAAGTAGATCGATCTAATCTCTGGAAATGGGGTCTAAGCATACATGAAAAGTAAATACATTGGTGTTGGAAGCTATACAAATGGATATGGCATACATAACTAAGAATTATCATTACTCAATTCTTGAACAATCACAGTCTGGTGTATTCCCAACATATTCATACAACTGGCAATACATATAGCTTTGGTTACTGCTTTTGACTTATATTTCACATATAAAAACTAGTAACAGTAATCTATATATCTCAAAATTCGCCACAATTGGCATTAAACAAGATAGTATCAAAATGCATATACGAAGTGGCCAGCCATTGTATACTAAAAAGCTCAATATCAAAAAGTAAAGATCAGGTGGACGGAATTTGGACAGAGAGTAAATATACTTGAACCATGCATCACCTTTGAGGCAGATTACATTCAATTTGCCATCTTCACGGCCAATTTTAAGTTCCAATATGATGGTTTTATCAAACCAGTGATATATATGTTAACCACACATTTGGATACAGTTTTGTAATCTCTGTGACAGATCCTGGAATCAGATTTGCTGAAAATCCCTCGAGAGTCTGGAAGCACATTATTAAGGTGATCAAAAAGGCATCAATTTCACACCAGTAAAGTCTGCATGGTCACTTGGTTGTTCTAAATATCATGTGTAGATGTGTGTGATATGTATGTATGTATATACATGATTAAGATACTTGGCAGTCTGATAGCTACATTATATAGAGACTAAAATGTCACAACACACAGAGCACACAGTTATAGGTTACAATTACAAGATCACAATAGGTCTCCAGACTGCACATTAAGATGGCTCAGTGTTGCCTACAGGCTGACACTGACCCAACACAGTGTGTAGTCTGTGACGGGTGTACATGTACATGTATATATGAGATATCCGTTTCCTCTACATCACAGCATAACGCACACTTGCTTTGTTAATTCACACTCGCATGTGTGTGTGTGTATATATAATATATATATATATATATAGTCATCGTCATAGGAAATTTTACTCGGCTGCAGGCAGGTTGTACACTGCAGGTCCAGGTACGTCATTAGCATCGACTGGCATCACAGGTGTTACCATGTTGCGCTCAGGGGTATGTGGACGCGAGGAAGACTGAACAGCAGATCCTCCGAGACCTACAGTGACCTCATTACGACTGGAGTTTCTGGAAATGGGGCGCTCCTCTTCCTCTTCCTTTCTAGGTGTGAGAGAACCTCCGTTGGAGAATGGGCGCTCGTTTTCTATGGACCTGGATGTGCTTCCTTCGGAGGATGGGCGAGAATTTCTCTGAGCTTCTGGATCGACGAATGTAGAGTCTGGCCCTGACTGCAGAGTGAATCCTGTAGGATCTCTGTGATAGGACATGGGTCGTACGGTTCCACTGTTGGGACTGTAGCCATCTTGTGGCTCGACCTTTTTACCTTTGCCCCTGAAATATTAATAATTGTTATATAATATTCTTATTAATAATTGAAGAACAATTCCTTTTTCCTCAAATCTTTTCAAAAAATAATGGGTATAATTATTATTATTAAAACCTTTGAAGAAAATATGCTTCAAGTATTAATTAGAAAATAATAAGCTTGAAATAATACAAAAACCAAAACATATCTCTACATGTACATCTGAGACTGTTTCTCTTTGGTCATGCCATGAATAAGGTGAAGCAAACATATAACAAGTAAAACAAAAACTATAACTCACTTCAGCACGACCAGAACAACAACCGCCACTACAACAATGACCACGATTATGGGCAGCACTGTGCCAAGGATGATGGCCCAAGTCATGTCAGTGGCAGTGGAGACAGGAAGAGCCTGGGTGGTGTTTGATGCCGCTGTCGTCTGCAACAGAAGATGAAAAAATGAATGAAGAATTCCTCAGTGAGAATTTAATTTGAAACAAATGCAGATGTAATATTGGAGAGGATAAATATAAGATCTTTTCTCCTATATTAATTTCAAATCGCTACAGACAAAAACAAATAATCTATAGTCATGTAATGTTACCAAATTTCAAAAACTATTATCAAACATGGTATTATTTAAATATAAATGATAAATTAACTGTTAATTAATAAATTAGTTAATTTACTTATTCATTTTTATAAGTATATTATGATATATCTACATAATATATTTATTCATATTTAGAGGATTGATTGATGGGTGTTGTATTACACAATCAGTGACTTTGACTGAGGTTGACATAATTTAATTATTATTACTTTCACTCATTCATTAATTAAAATATATATAATAAAATGTCTTACCGGTGCCATGGTGGTTTGGTCCGCAGGTGTCACCACACCTAAGGTGATGTTTGCAGACGGGTAAGCTGATGCCACCACAGAGACAATGGAAGAAGACCTAAAATGTTGCGAATAATTTTATCGCTATTGTGTGCATGCACCAGAAGTTGAAAATAAAGCCAGTGAATGGTCAATACACGTTTGTAGTTTGTGCGTTTTTGGTGTAAATTATACCACTATATTATTTTCTCCTCAAGCAAAAGACCCCACGTTGAAAGCAACAGTTGGTACTTTGATTCTCATCTCATTAGAAAAAACTTATTAGTAACATTAAGTACCATTAACGTTGATGTTTTGTCGATTGCTGTGGCACAGAAATTAAAATATACATACACTGCGCTGTTCAGCACTATGGACTGGAAGGTGGACTGGTCAATAACAAACTCTGAGGATGGGTCAAAGTTCACTGAAAAGAGAAATTATAGAATATCAACATCGCTGCAACCAATATTCACCTTTACTTAAAATTATATTGTAAGTTCCCTGGCTTTGGTCAAAATTCATAGAGATGGCATATAACTAAAATGTGGGGTAAAACTTGAAATTTATCATTGTGATAATTGTAATTGAATCTAATGATTAAATATAAACAGAAAGATAACCATGATTGTGCATACATGAAACAGGCCTATTATAAGTACCCTAAAGCAAATGAATGAAATGAAATGAATGAAAAATACATATATAACTCCAGGAATATTTATGTGAACAAGGCTCTACATGTACCTACATCTTTTATTCCTTTCCATAAGTATAATGTTGCCAGTACCCTATATTTTAACTGTACCATGAAAAATTCTGAACTGTTTTATTAACCTGTGTTTAAGTTCACAGATGGCAGCACCAGTAATTCCCCACTTACCAGCTCTCTTCTTCCTTCCACTGACTACTACAGACGTTGAGGCATTGCCCGCAGCACAAAGGTCATTGTCCTTTGGTGATTTGGCCACAATCAGAAGATCTGTCAACGTGGAATCCAGTGGATTGACACGAGGATAATCGCCTCCAATCTGTACGTAGGTGTTGTTGGTGAAGGTCAAGGTGATATTGTCACTGACAATACTGGAAAATATTTCATTGGACATATTAAGCTGATGTCAAGGTCAGATGGGTTGTATAAATTTATCACTTCTGATATTACATATTATATATATTGTATTGTACAGAATAATTTAGTCAGATCATGAAATGCACATATTGAATGTTAACTGATTTCTTTAAAGTAACAATTAAATTTTAATAGAAAATACAACCATGCAAGTACAAAATTGTAATTGTAACATATAAAGCTTTGTGACACATCAATCATCAGATTATATGTCCACTTCGGTGAATATAAGAAATTTTTTAAGCTGTCACGTATGAATTATACTCACAGAGACCCACTGTTGGGGCAACAGGTGCTGTACTCAGATGGTTGTTTACAGTGGTCATTCAGGGCTCCAACAATGACATTAACAATATGGTCCTTGATGGCTGTCACCTGTGAAAATGGTTTGTATGTGACATACGTAAATTACTGTTATCGCATTTCATAGTGTACCCCATACAATACATTTGATTAAATTATGTACACTACGATATCAAAACAAAACATATTTGAAACACAACTATTTGTCAGAAACATTACTGGTTTATTCCATTCTTCAAATTATTACCAATATTTACCAATAAATCACCTAACTAGGATACCAAAACAAACTTGAAACAATTATCTGAAGCATTACTGATTGATTCCACTTTTCAAATTATTATCAGCTGGTCATATATTAATCAATAAACCTATATTGTGTGTTTGTCATCAAAGCCTTTAAAATTCTTATACTACTCAGGGTAGGGGATATATAATTATTTAAATCATGTTGGGGTAGAAAATACTAGCATGCCATACCTGATCCACTGTGACTCCGCCCAGAGACACAATGACACCATAGTTGTTCTCTGTTTCACTCACTGGAAACAAAATGCAAAAGCAAGTTTTTCAAATTGGATGAACTAGCACCTTATCAATGTCACAATGCCAAATAAAAAAGCAATGGAGATGCAATCTTTCAAACTGATTATATAGCCAATATTAGATTACAATGAAAATGCAGAAAGAAAAATCCTCAACAAAAAGTTGTTTCAAACCTAAATATCATTGCCCCATATCTCTTTTCCACTCAGAAAAACATGCTTACATGTACTGTATTCAGTATTTCAGGCCTTAAACTCTCGTCACACAATAATTTCAATTTATAAACAAAAGACACTGTTAGAAAAAAATAAGACTTACATGGGCAGTACTCAGTGTTGCAAGTCTGAGTCTCTGTGACGTTTCCAGAGCAAGGCAAGCCATTGCCAACCTGTGTTGGGTTTGTACAGGAACGGTTCCTCCATTGGGTTCCACCAGCACAGGTTACTGTACAAGTAGACCAGTTGCCCCAGGCTGAGAATCCTCCATCACGATCTGTTCAGAATTTCAAATATACTTGTCACACAGGTTATATCACCATGTTATTTTTTTGTTCAAAAGCTGATATGACTGAGATAAGAGACTTCTATTGATAAATTGCACCAGAACATTTCAAAACAAGCATTGTGAAATTTTAATTCCCAACAGGTAAAAAATGCAGTTGATAGATATGCAATATGAAAATTTGAGAGCATTATTTGATTTTTTTTCTAATTTCCAACCTTTGCATTCCACTCCACTTGCACTGAGTTTGTATCCATTTGTACATGAGCATTGATAGCCACCGATCAAGTTGAGGCATTGAATGTTACTGCCAATACATGGGTTGCTCTCTGTACACTCATCCTTGTCTGAAATAATTAAAAAATTTAATTACC